AGAAAATCGTATCGTGAACTCAAATCATATCGAATCGTGAGTTGAGTGTATCATGACATCCCTAGTCTTTAGTATTGTCTGTAGTTCTGGACATGTCAGGGATAATTCCTGTTACCTCTGTCTGGTTAAAAACGGGTATACTGTACAATTGAGGGAGTCATTTCAAGAGAATTGTCACTTCAGTCTAATTCATGTTATCGCCTGTACATTTATAGGTTTGTGTTTCAAATGTTTTGTTCTCTTTACAGGAGAAAAAGTGCTTCTGGTGGGTCAACATTGCAAGGGCACAAGTATGTTCCACTGCTTGGGATCACAGAACATCGGCTTTGAACTGTTTGCTCAGGAATTTGCTTGTTATGAAACGTTTTAACATAGATGGACTGTGTGTTATCAATCTTTTTCCATTTTCAGCACAGGAGAGTCTTGACTGTGAGCTGTTTGGCTACACTAATTGTTATGTAACTTACTGTAATATGCAGAAATTTTATTGTATGAAATAAGCAGACGCTTTTCAATATGATATGGTTCAATCAACAGTAAATGCATAGCAATGATAGTATCTTATATAATGTAAACCATGTTTTTTTCCACCATTCAGGCTTTTTAATTCTATAAAAATACAAAAGCAATAGGTTACCTTTTTCCACGGTTATTAATGGATATTAGGAAACGTTTCAAAATATGTACAGACACTGCTCACTTAACGACCTACCTATATAGCGACTGCCCAGACTTACAACCAGCTCTCCGACCAGTCGGTGTTGTACGCTGTAGCAGAACTTTGGCCATGCAAATGGCAGCATGGCATCTCAGCGTCAAGCAATCATGCAAATTAAAACAGTTATCATGCAAGTTGGAGTTTCCTTTACACCTTTTCTTTTTTTCAGAATAAATTAAACGATTACCTTTATTTACAGTATGCAAAGCTAAGTAATGTAAGTAAGGTACTGTATATTAGAGCTGATTTCCTCTATTCTGTTTATTACAGTATGTAGTTCACTACTGTAAACATTTAGAAATATAGTAAAAATGTTATAAATGGTGCAGGGGTGACATTAAAAGAATATCCAAAGATGGCTGACACAAACCCACTACCAGTACAGCGTACTTGAAATATCAGTAAGGGGGCAGCTCCTCGCTTATCAACTAAATCGCTCAGTGACCTAGTCGTATAGGAACGGAACTCGGTCGTTAAGTGAGGAGTGTCTGTATTTGGTTTAACACTTTCAGGATTTCTTTGTAATGAGTAGTCAAATGTCATAGGGAAGATACAGTAATATGACCATTTATTGATTCCTTTTCAGCACACCAGATTCTTGTCAAGATCAAGTTGGGTGAGGCTTTATCATTTTCTGTATATCATGCTTAATTACAAGAACTTAAATTTACCGGATATATAGAATATTTTCATGGGAGTGGTGATGGAGATTACAAAA